TGGTGGTGGGGGGGTGCTCTGGTGCGGTTTGCCTCTTCTTTCTTATCAAACATCTATCGTCCTTATCTTTCCTCCATCTTTTTTGTGTTTGTTACTCTCTGGTAACACCTCTAATCTTGGGCACTTATATGACCTTATTGTGTTGCAAGTGCTGAAAACACTTACTAAATCAAACAAAGCACCTCACAACTTCTTCTTGAATATCAGAGCTGTCCAGGTTTTATTTTGGGGGGGGGGATTTTTTGCCTGTCGAAGAACCATGATTGGATTTGTATACAATCAGTTTTGTGAGGAGGGGGTTCTTAAATTCCATTTCAATCAGATGGTATGCAACTTATGACATGTGGTATGAAAAATACAAATTTTTATTTCCTTTTTTTCCTCCCATGTGTATCTTGGTTGTGCTGTTTAGGCTAGAGAGCTGAGCAGAGTAAGCCTGATTCCCTGTAAGGACTTCTCTATGGACATCCACCCCTTGGCGCTCATATGACCTTATGCAATTGCGAGTGCCGTAAAACCTTCCTAAAACAAACAACTTGTCCCTCCCTCAGATCGAGATCATGGAGTCGCGTGTGGCCATCGCGTGCCCCGAGTGCTCGGAACTCTTCCACCCCAACGACATCGAGGCGATTGTGCAGGACGCCGGTCTGATGCACAAGTACCAGGACTTCATGCTGCGCCGTGTGCTGGCCATGGACTCCGACACGCGCTGGTGTCCCGCCCCGGACTGTGGGTATGTGTGTAGATAACTGTTCTACAACAACATGCACCACGTGATATATCATCTACTCCTTCCTCACCTTTCCTCTCCTCCTCCTCCGTTCTTCCCCAGGAAGAGCTCCATCATCCTTTTCCACTTCACCCAAACACGTAGCATTGAACAGTTGCACTTAAGGGGGTGGGAACCATGTATGCTAGACCTTCTCCGACTTCAAGTCAGATTTTCTTTCAGTCTTTATGACGTTTGCTGGGTCAATAATCCTTGTTCATTGTACCTCATTCCCATGTACATGTGTATTTCATTTATCAACCATGTTGAGTTGTGTATGTGTATTTCATGTATCAACCATGTTGAGTTGTGTATGTGTATTTCATGTATCAACCATGTTGAGTTGTGTATGTGTATTTCATGTATCAACCATG